GAAAAATGCCTTTTCTACTCCTCCATCCTTATCTTTAGACATTCATAGTTATCTCAAAGAGAAATCGGCATTTCGTTACTAAACAGCTCTTAGTCTATAAAAGCTTTGGAAATTCCCGGTGATGTATAGAAGACCTGTGATAGATCCTTGAGAAAAACCATAGCTTTTAACACTCTATTGTTGGGAAGTTTCAGTAGTGTTACCGTAATAAATATTTTTCTGGGTTGAAAGAAAGATTGTGTTGTACAATGAACTAGATGTGAGAAGTGTAAAAACTGAGATTTTTCCAACAATAAGAATTTTCCAAAGCTGGAAATTTTGCAAAATGTTTACCAGTTAAGTGCAATAACCCACTAGTAAACATGTTGCTATGGGACATTTTTGCAATAAATGTAGCATCGAAAACGTTTTGTACTATTTTCTCATTTAAGAATTTCATCAGAAATTGATGAAACTTTGCATGAGATTATTTCGATGCCCCTGGAAAATATCAGCTCATGCTTTACAATAAATAAATTAAAAATTGACTTTTCTTTAAGGTGTTACACCAATGGATTTGAATACACTTTTTATTACAGCTTTCGTGTTAAAAATATGGAAGACACGTCAAAGTGCTTTTTCTATAAGCTTATATGAAGTACAAATGATAATAAATGTATATAAAGGTAATACGATTATTAACGGGCAATTTTTAATTTGTTTTCATTGGTGCTGCTATTTATTAGTTTACAAACATCACGCTAAAAATTATACTAGTTCGAAGACAATTTTTATTCTGAAGTGTTTAATATTATGGACGATTCACAAAGCGTTACTGTAAAAGAAATCAAACCTAATTTAACGAGTTAAATTTTTCAACGCTTATATCAATTTCATCATTTAAGCGTTCAGGTTTCCGATTCGGAATAGCCTAGGAAAATTAGACATTTTCCGTTAAAAAAATAAACCGAAAAAGCCTAACAATCTTGAGTTATTTTAACTCGATATTCCAAACATCTGCTTTGAGATAAGAAAGAAAACCAAACTTTAAAGAATCGTGAAGGATTCTTTCAAATTTTCTTCGTGTTATTATAATTTTTCGTGATAGTGTTAATATCTTTACAATAATTTTAGACTATAACATGAAAACGTTCATTGACCTAGTATGTTCCTTTGTCCCCAATTTTATTTTACGTATCCTGTACAATACATGTAAACAATAAAGGTTGTAAATATTTAATCTACCTTATTGACGAAGAAATCTGTAAAGTGTATATTGTTATACGTTGTATAATACTATTCCAGGAACTGTTGTTTTGTTTTTCTTCCAAAAAATAAACTCCCTCGATACATCGATTGTGGATAAAGACGGTCACAATATTTCAAAAGCAATTGAAATGTGTAAATAGGTTCGTCTATTTTAAAAATGTATAAAAAGCTTTTGTTATCAGTTTGGTCGTACCAGCCTTAAGAAAATACGTGTATTTATTATTTATATAGTATGGATCCATACAGTGCGCAGGTACTACCGGAGAATATTATGACTAAAAGTAGAGAAAAATGTGAATTGTGTTGTGTATATGTCATTGAATTTAAGAGGAATTAAACGATATTCATATAAATATATCATTGATTTTTATTCACCTATTACACCGTCAAATAAATTATAATCCCATATCAGTGTTTTCGGTACAAATCGCTCAAAAGGCTATCCATAGTGTTACTGTTTCTCTTCATGGCTGACTAACAATTAACTACATCTTGATAAGGTAAGTTATTACAACGTTTTTCTTATTTAAAATAATAATTCTATAGCCGTTCTTGAAAATATCGATTTTTTTGGGTAATAAAACACTTCTCTTGTTCTAATAATTTTGTGATAGAAAATCGTACTCTACTCTCCATCTCATTGGAGGTAATTTTTTATAATTTCTGTCGACGGTGAATACGAGAGCTGAAGGTGACTTGGTGCTATTTCCAGTGCTCTGGTGTAGGAATTCTACGGCCCACTGCCCGATTCTGTGAAATGGTTTCACACGCTGAGTTGCGCAATTTATAGGGTGGTGGGGTTTTTTATTAGAAATCTTGGATTTTTTTTGTCGGAGCCTTTTTCTCACCTTCTGGGAGATTCAGCCGTGGACATAACTACACTCCACCGTCGAGCTGTTTCCCATTTTTGTGAACCTTCATTGTTCGAGGGTTATATCTTCCGGTTCTACCGTCGGTTTCCACCTTCGGGTTCTACCTTCAGGTTACATCTGGGACTTCCTGCTCCCGTTTGCCAACCGTTAATAATAGCCCAGCCCTGCATAGGTGGTTTTCCTCTTTATTTTAATATTTACCGGAAACCATTTAGCTAGGGGGGTAATGCGAAATAATTTTCTTAGCATGTCCTCCAGGACGTCCCTTTAATTTTGTTATTATTTTTTTTGTCCAATAAATGTCTGTGTGCCTTGTGAGTTTGTGTCTCCTTAGGTCCGGAGACCCAACCTTGTTCACATTCAATATAATATCCGCCCTGCAGTGACCAAAAAGTTGAGAAATTCAGAACTTTTTGAAAACCCTGGCTCCAACAAAGTTTTTTTGCACCTAAACACATTGAGGATTTCGGAATGTGATGTTTAGAAACGGTCTGGAGTTTTCCTTTTACTTCTCACCCCAGTGCGAGGTAATATTGGTATTTTAATCGCGAAAAATGAGATATTACGTTTTTTTGAATGCTTATACGACATCTACATCACGAAAAAACAATCACTAATTTTCGTCGGTTTGGCTGTTTTCCTTTATGTCCGCCAATTCTTGTCCCGTCTATAACTAGGAATGTAACGGTCGGGTTTTGATGAAATTTTCACGCAAGGTTACTGCTGTGCCAAGGATGAAAAAGCTTTGTAGTTTTTTAAAGTCCAGTGGCGGTGGAGAAAAATGCTAAAAACGAAAAAATAAAAATGGCTCGGACACCGTTATTTCAGTTTCAGAGGATCCTATTCATTTTTTGAAACTTTTTTCAGGGGTGGGGGTTGTAGGGAGCTGAGGTAGGGTGTATCGTAAGTTTTTGATGTTAGTATACACTTCCCACCCCCAATAATTCTGTCTTTAGGGGGCTAAAAAGCTTTGACATCAGATAGACAATGGGCCACTTTAGGTCTATTTAACATCATTAACAAGCAAATAAAAAGGTGGCAGACCAGGACCAGTCGACCAAGGCAGTACCAGCTTTTTCCAGGGTGTTTTCAGAATGCCCGCATGTTTTCACACCTAAGGCCCGTATCGTCAGTCGTCCCTACAATTGTAGGGCGCCTCCTTGATTGTCATATTTTTCTACTTCTCCGTGTCAGAACTCTATTTTGGGGTTATGTCACAAACATCTATTTACATCAAATTGTGCTTGCTTTTGAGTTATATCATGTTTTATCAGCCTGATATTTCCTACAATTTAAAAAAAAAACATATCTTCACAATAGGAGAGCGCTGACGCTGACACGGGACAAGTGTAATCTAGAAATTTTTGAAGGAGAGAAAGGAGTATGACAATCAACGAGGCCATAAACGCGCCCTACAATTGTAGGGACGACTGACGATACGGGTCTAAGCTACGCAGTTAGTTATCTTTCCTTTCACTACCAAACAAAGAAATTAATGACGATAGACTACTATCAATTCCGGACTTAAACGTACTACATTCTCGGAATGTCCGGGTGGAGGATGGACTTGAGGGAACAACATCGATGATAAAATTTGTTTCACACGAACATCTGCGGGATTAACAGCAACATTGATGCTGTTCACTGCTACGTGCAGTCTAATTGTCCGGCCATGCTTTTCTTCAAAAATCTCAGATTCTGCCCCGATTAATCATCTTAGCCTCCGAAATTACGACGTGTGCTCCAATCTGAGGAAGAAAGAGGAGTTGTGGCTTTGTTTACATCAGTCTTTCTTGCTCTAGGGACGTATCTTTGGAATCAAGCCGAAAGGACATTATGGCTTCGCTTCAACTCCAAAACATCTCCCAAATTTGGTTACTGCCTTTATCGCCATCCCTCGGACCAAAACTGAGATGACCTTTTGAATACCTACCTCGTTGTAAACATCAACTTTCCCAATCGCCCTGCTTCAGAGGTAGTTGTGTTCGGTGATTTTAATCACCATAATAAGCAATGGATAGACATAAACAAGACCAATCCAGCAGGTCTCTATTATCCATGGACTGACCCAGCTGCTGACGAGCCCTACTTTCTTACCCCGCATTTCATCACACGCCAGTAGCCTGCTGGAGGTTATGTTTCGGTCAGAATTGGCTGTGGCGGCAAAAACTCGCCCAGATCGCAAAATTTGGCTAAACGGGCATGCCGACTGGAGGGATCTTTACTTCGCTGACCCGATGCGACTGTTCATCAATAGCCAAAATTATCCACGTTGGGATGGAGGGATACATCCCTCGAACAGCGAAAGTGCCTAAACCAGGCTCCAGCGGCTGGTTCAACAAATCGTGCAACACTGCTCGTCAACAGAAGATCAAGGCACACAGAACCTTTTTACAAACTCGCACTGTAGATAACATACAAATAGACGACGAGTAAAGAAAGAAATATAACGAAACGGTCCGTAGTGCCGAAGACCACCACGATGTAAAAATTAGCAGCGCAATTTCAGTCGGTCTTTCTGGACGCTGGCTAAGCAGATTGAATGGAATAGCCTTCCACCACTTACGTGCCAGGATGAAACGATTGTAACTGCCTCCAAGGCTAATGCGACAGCTATGATAAATGACGTAAGCTGCAGCGTGAGTGTAGCTTGAGGCTGCCCTCAGGGCGGAGTTCTGTCACCCCTACTGTGGTGTATCGTGGTGAACGAACTCCTCGTTAGGCTCAGCAGTATAAGTATCTTACGTGCAAGTCTATGCTGATGACGTAAGCATAGTAGCTAGGGGGCGTTTTTGTAGAACAGTCTCGGAAAATATGCAGGGCGCTCTGCGCTCCGTGGAATCGTGGTGTAGGGAAGTCGATCTTTCTGTTAATGCTGATAGAGAGAGAGACCGAGCTGATACTATTCACTAGGAGAAGGCTTGACGGGCTGGTCATGCCGACCTTCTTTGGGACTAGATTAATTTTGTCCCAGTCAGTGAACTATCTGGGAATTATCCTGGATTGCAAACTGAACTGGAGAGAGCATGATGAATACAAGGTTAGCAAGGCTCGCAACTCGATGTGGGCTTGTATGTGTCGCTGTAAGGTGGGAGCTTAAACCCAAAGTGGTATACTGGCTCTACACAACGATAGTACGTCCATCTCTCTAATTATGTAGTCGGAACTTCAAACTTCGTTTTAAAAAACTTTATTTGGTTTCCACCAATAGTTTACTGGACCGAACCGGAATTGTGTGTTCGCTGTGACCGAGATTGAATGACTGACTCATAATTAAGATACAATCGTTAATATAAACCAAAAGTGATGAGCTAGTAAAAAGGAATACAATGCAATTATTATATCAATTAATAAAGTGTTAAATGACAGCAACATAACTCTCTTGTACAGCTCCCTGGTCTAGTGGCCTCGCATTAGAACTGAGACAACCAAGGCCAAACTCAATAAAATTCAGCGTTTGGCCTGTATTAGTATTACAAGCACAGTGCGAACAATGCCATTGAGTGCAATGGAAGCTCTGCTGGATCTCCCACCATTGGATCTGGTGATCCGCGGTGAAGCGAGAGTAGTCGCTCATCGACTGTGGAGTCAGCGCAGCTGGGCTTTCTTGAATCCTGTCAAGGGGCATACTGCCATCTTAGTCGAATTGCAAAGGGAGGACCCTGTCCTTCTAAGCAGGGGTGATCGTATTACCCCTAAATATCGCTTCAACCGCAAGTTTATTGTGGAGTATCCAACGAGGGAGGAGTGGGATGCCGGTAGTGAGCGGGCAGATCTGGTACACGGACGGCTCGGTCACCGAAGAGGGCTCAGGTGCTGTGGTCTCTGGGCCTAGAACGAGGCTATCTCTGCCTCTCGGTGGATACACCACTATTTTCCAGGCGGAAATCTTTGCGATTCTGGCTTGAGTATCTCACATTCTGGACAAGGGAGGGCCTAGGAGAAGAATAAAATTGGCCAATTTCACCAACAAAAGTCCGTTATTCTCCGCCTATAGGGTAACAGACCGTCAAATACAACGAATGAGCTTCAAGTTCCAATCAACAAATTTTAGCAACCAATAGCTATGAAATGTTGAAAACAAAATACTTTTTATTCATGTTTATATTATTTTCTTCAATTGATATGCGATACTGGGTGTTTTTTCCTATAAACCTCTTGCAGATAGCCATTAAGCACCTACTTCATGACAGGCTCTACCAAAAGATATTGCTCATTTCCAAACATTCATTCATTTACTTGCCGTTCATCAGAACAATTATGGCACTTTAGATTGATATTCCCACAAAACCATTCAGGTTTTTTGATATCCATACATCCATAAAGTTGAATATTTTTCGTTGTTCAGGAACTGAACAAACATCCACACTATATTCACAGCGATTACGAAATTCCCAAATATATGCCTTAAAGCTACCAGCAAACCTAAAACCTGCAAAAAAAAACAACAAATTTTCCATATTTTTCTTTTTTCACGAGTAGACA